ATGGAAGCCCATCTATGCTCATAATACGTTAATTGAGCTACTGAAATGTAATTCAAAGCCGGTTCATTCTTGTAATACAGTGTGTTATAAACTATCTAACTGTATAAGGGCTGAGGCTCTATCAAGAACAGTGTAAACGAAACAACAATTTATTGTATTTTACAATCCGAATGACGACCAAGAAAAGGTATCTCCCGGGTTTCGTGGTTTCGAACAAAAAAATGCCCACGTGGACGAAAGTGCTTTTTTAGAACGCCTCGAACACTGTGTTTTCTACAAAATTCTCCTCATTAGAAGCTTCCACTTATTAATTATGTAATAAGCTCCTGCGATATTGTCCCCCCGGATTACTTAGAGTAAATTAAGACCCACTGGAATTCCCAGTAACCTAACAGTCATGGCGTGTTGAGCTTCTTTTACCGATAATACGACATTATTTCCCAACATCAATAATATTACATAAAGTAAGTGGCAGGCAACATGATATTTTAAGACGTAAAAGCATTTTAAAGGCGACATTTGATGCTTATCATATTTTGAGTTTATAAAGGAGAAATAGATCACTTTCCAACACCCTTATTTTTTATAGGTAGGTATAGCAGCTTACGAGGGCTGTGAATTAAACCGATAAGACTGATTTTTTTCTAACTTTTTCATTCAAATGTAATTTCGATTGTATATTGTCACCGTCAAGATAACTTTTAACTCTGTTGCAGCCGTTTGAATGTTTTGGACTGTCCCAAAATGAGTTCCCTTGAGGTGATTTTATAACTTGGGAAAGAAAAAAATCACAAGGACTCAAGTCAAGCGAATAAGAATACTGAGGAGCCACAGGAATATTTTTACTGGACAAAAACTCGTTTAATAACATTGCTGTGTGACAAGGAGCATTATCGTGATGTAACACCCAGTTCTTCTTGACCCTTCCTCGATCATTAGGACTGTCAACCGACGCTCAAGATTCTGTCGATATTTACATGGAGGCCTTCCGCTTCATGGTTCATCTTTAATCGACGCTCTCTGTTAGTAAAAGTTTCCATTGTACTGAGCCCAAGTCAAAGGCAAAACCTGGTAGCACACCGTTACTTGAAATTGATTACACTCATTCTCAGAACACAGTAGAAAAAACGTTCATAAAAAAGCGCTACGAACAACAAAATGACTCAAGCGAGTTCAAACTTGTACTGAACGTGGATCACATGTTTCCCTGTCAACTCTCTAAGCCCGGCGTCTCCAGTGTTGCCAATTCGAACGCTGCGTTGCCAACCTCATAACTTAATTTACAGATCTCGTATACACCAATTTCACGAAAATTGTAGAAAAAATACTGTTATATGAATAGGGACGGCTTGTACTTTTACCACAAAGTACTGCCAGAAACAACAACTTAACAAAAATCAGCTACGTTACTTTTGGGATATCCGCCATTGTCACCATGACACATCCACAGAAATGAATAGGCCGCATAATAAAAAGTATACGGTGCGGTATATTTTGGAGAAAGAAATGTTTTTTTAGTATTTAGTATATCATACGAGTATAATTGATATGAGCACATAGATTTCTTTAGGGGCACAATCATAAACTTTTATTTACGCCGTTTGGAAAAATCCATACAGACGCCCGTGGTAATTGGTAGGAGAGTTGTCAAACACTTCCTGACACCAAGTTTGAAGGGTCCGACAGTAGCTGATGCATATGTATGTAATATGTGGCTTTATACGGGGTATTTATTAAATATCTCTCAAGCTGGAGATGGTGTACAAATGACACGAAAAGTTCATATAGCCATGTGCTCTGAAATAGTCTCTTATTGGAGGATAATGAAGTTCTAATTTTAAAATCTTGGAAAACAGTATCTCCATCGCGGATAAATACCGGGTGGCGCATCGAAAACGAAACAGACGCATTTACTATCAGCTCAGTTTTTATTTGGAAAAACGCTCAGACCCGTAGATTTTGTTTTGGAGTGGGACAAAGTTTGGCAAAAAATCACGTTAACACGTGCAGCCCCTTGGGCGGGGGTGACACCAACCCTAAAATCTTAAATGGAAAGGGGGCTCAAGTGATAACTTACTTCTCTTTATAATGATGTAAAACACATGAGCTTCAGCTCAGTAGTTTTGAAGATTTATTGATTTAAAACTTAAAGTAGACTTTAATAGGTACATCAGATTAGTTTGTACCACTTTCAGAAGAAATTTGACTAAAATAATTAACTTAATAAGTAAATGCTTTTCGTCACTACGCCCATGGTTTGTTTATAATTTTGTTGTTGAAAATAGGTATTGGAGCGTTTTTATGTGTCAAAAAATTTATTTCTTGAAGAAAGATAAGGAAATATCTCGTACTTATTTTAAATAGGAATTTAGTACATAGTTTGCGACTGATTTGACCAAACTTTGTTGCTAAAATAACTTGTAACGCTTTATTAGATAAATTAACCATGGTATATTCCACAGCAGAAAGAGTTGAAATTATCGAAATATTTTTCGGAAATAATCAGTGTGCTAATAGAACAGCAGAAATATTTAATGAGCGACATAAGAACCGTAACGTGCATCGAATATATGTTCTAGAACTTGTAGCTAAATTTCGGGAAACTGGGTCAGTCGCCAAAACAAAAATCAACATTGAAAATCCCGTAAGGAACGAAGCAATAGAAGTGGGGGTTTTAGGGCAAATTTATGTAGATCCTACGTTAAGTACCCGCAAATTGGAGACTGTGTGTGGTTTTAGTCGACGTACTGTCCAACGGATTCTAAAGGCCCATAGTTTTCGTCCGTATAAAATTCACCTGGTACAAGAATTTAATGAAGACGATTTTGATCGGCGATTACAATTTTGTGAAGATATGAGTGGACGAATTATAAACGATGAACATTTCCTATTCAACACTTGCTTTTCCGACGACTGTTCATTTTTCTTAAATGGCGTAGTAAATCGTGATAAGTGCCGATATTGGTCCGACTCTAATCCCAGAATTTATCATGAGGTTCATTCACAGCAGCCACAAAAATTAAATGTTTGGGATGGTATTTTTGGCGATCATTTAGTTGGTCCTTTTTTCTTACCTGGAAATTTGACCGGTGAAATGTATTTGGAATTACTGGAAGACGCCATAGATCTTGCATTAACAGCCATAATTGAAAATCAGAATGATCGGCGGTACATTGCGAATAGGTTGATGTTCCGACAGGATGGTGCCCCACCACATTAAGCATCACGTGTTCGACAATATTTAGAGCAGACGTTTCCAGATCGATGGATTGGTAGAACAGGTGCCATTTAATGGCCCCCAAGATCGCCAGATTTGTCACCTTTGGATTTCCTTATGCGGGGTCATTGAAAAAGCAAAATCTACGCTACTCAGTCAACATCATTATGCAATCCAATATCAAAGACTTAAGTCCGGTCTACTTCGAAAATATACTGAAGATAGTGAAGTGTGACATTAAGAGTTGTATGAAGTATATTTGCGGAGTGATCCTCTCACCACAGCGGTACTTAAGGAACATTCAAGCTTCGTCTTTTATGAGCCTCGTCAGTCGCGTATACCATCAAATCAATAGCTCCGTCGTTGGTATAGGAAGGTGGCAATTACGCTTTCTCAAATTCGGTTTGTAAATAAACTAGGTTAACCTAAACACGAGTGATGCCTAACTTGGATGGTGACGCACATCGTTCTACAAACCATAGTAGGATGTAGGAACGGGTCGACCCTTTCAGATTTTTTGTAGCTTTCTTATCTCAGTTAAATTAAGGCTAATGCACTTCAAGCAAAACTGATAATACTGGCATAAAGAGCCAAATTTTGTTTCTTCATTATTTCCATAATAAAGATATTGCGTTATTGCGATGAATATTGTCACAGAACTATACAGCGTGTGTTATAAACTTACAAAGCACGCTTTCATGTAGAAAACGAACAACCTGCTTATAAAAAGCTATATGTATCTGGTCCATTTCACGGCTATGCGCCGCCGTTTGTTTGTGTAAGCTCAGACTTAAGTACTTTAGTTTTGTTTCGACATCTAGAAAATCTTTTCTCCAACGTATGACTATTCGTAATCTATGCTTCTCACTGTCAGTGCGGCAATCCGTTTCCCATGGGCGTACCATTTTGAGTCTCCAACTGATCGATGACTTCTCTCTAGCGGACAGTCTCGGGACGTTTTACCACCGGTGGGCCGTCGGCGATCTAGCTGGTGGCTCGCAACATAATTTTAGAGATGTTGTAAAAATCATAGAAGCAGCGGCAACACTGCGGTAAGCAATATGTTCGAGAACGATCTCGATTACTTTGAACGGAATAAATACGCAAGGCGCAGCGACAGTGCGCTCAGTTTAAAACTGAACGGGACAAAGTCTAGCGGTTGGGTTAGAGTTAGCCAGCAATTAAAAACATTATGAGCAGTAGTAAGAAGATGAAGACTTACCATTTCCATTCGATTGGGGAGAACAATATTCCTTTGCACAAGTTAAAGGTAAAAATGTACCTATGTTTGTTATGTAATACATCTGTTTCTGTTACTAAAAAGGAAATATCGAGAGGCACTATGAAACTGTACATGATAGTTTTGAAAAATCATTCCCATTACGTTCGGCAAAGAGAAGGGAAAAACTGAAATAATTCAAAAATCAGTTGATTGGACAACAATGTTTTTAAAAACAATCGACTGGAGCATCATATCGGGTGTCCCAGATAATTACACAAAAGAAGAACCTTACGAAGACGGGGAAATGATAAAACATGCATTTATGAAAGATGTAGATTCATTATTAGCCAACTTTAAAAATAAAGACGATATAGTGTCTACTATAAAATCTATGCAACTTTCTGCTAATACAGTGATGAGACGTGTAGAAGTAACGAGCAATTATATAGTTTTACAGTTGAGCAATGACTCCGTGACTTCGACAACTGCGCTTATTTTTCACTGCAGCTGGATGAATCCACAGATGTCGTTGACACCTCTCAGATAGCCGTGTTCGCAAGAATGGTTTTTAGTTATTTTACGATTAAAGACGATCTTTTGGAGTTTATTCCACTAAAAGGACAGACTACTGGGCAGGACTTGTTTTCTTCTTTTAAAAATACTAACTCTTCTGACAAAATTCCAAATTTGAAAATGGTAGGCTTGACAACCGATGGCGCTCCAGCTATGGTGGGTCCTTATAAGGGTCTCGTGGGGTTATGTCGTAAAGATGATAGTTTTCCGCAATTTTCCTGTTACCGCTGCATTATCCATCAACAAGCATTATGTGGACATTTTCTAAACAACGTTATGGAAATGGTAGCAAAAGTTGTGAACAAGATTAGAGCTCAAGAGTTACAAAGAAGATTATTCAAACCTTGGCCGATGAAATTGACTGCCAGTACGGGGAACTACTTCTTCACTCTGAAGTTCGATGGTTAAGTAGGGGACGAGTGATGAAACATTTTAAAGACATCATATCTGCCTTAGTTCAATTTTTCAAACAACGTCAGGAACCAATTCCGGAACTGGAAAATTCAATCTGGCTTAGAGATTTTGGTTTTCTTGTGGATATTACAGAAAAATTAGATGAAAATTTGCAGGTTCAGGGTAGAGACAAAGAACTAGCAGAAATGATTTCTGATATAAAAGCTGTTATCAAAAAGCTTGAGTTTTGGTAACAAAACTTAACCGATGGCGATACCAGGCATTTTCCTGTTCTTTTAGAAAATATATCTCAAAGTCCAATAGAACCAAATGACAGTAAATATCATGTAGAAATAGTCTCTAACTTGAAGGATAACTTCAGAAATCGTTTCAAGGATTTCAACGAAATTGCTATAGTGGCGCAATTTGTTGTTTCACCCTTCATGGAAATTGATATCCAACAATTCGCAACTTATGTTATGCAGAACTTTAGCGAAGACATCGCTGCGACAGGAATGGAATTGATTGCGTTTCAAAATGATTTAGATTTGAAATCATTATTCTCAAATACAAAATGTATCTGGCCTTCAGTAGGTAGAGATAAATAGTAGTTTTATGTCGTGTTGCCTTGAAAGTGAAAGCGTTATTAAGTTCAACCTATTTGTGTGAACCTTCTGTTTCAAATATGAAGTTTATTAAATACAAATACCATAATCGACAATAAAAATTTCAGTGAGTCTGAGTGTCAGGCTTCTCATTGAAACACGCACTTTTTATCCGCACATGTTATTGTTTAAAATAGTGCAATCCTTTTTTTATTTTTAGTTTCCTTTATTAAATGTTATGTGACATGCCATTGCAGGTGACAAAATACTTTGTTTATTTTTCAAACACTTACGATTGGTAGAAGTGGATGTAGTTATGTAGTATCTATTAGTTATTAGTTTATTTAAGTTTATTATTATGTATTAGTATTAGTAAAACGAACACATGTATGTCGCATAGAACCGTGTATAATTTCATGTAAGTTGGCTTACTTTGCTTACGACTAGGTAGCTCACCATTTATTCCAAAATCAAAGTAGCTCAACACACTGAAAAGGCTGGCGACCACTTCTATCGCTAGGCCCACGGGCTTTGCTCCTCAGAGCTCTCTTCCACGACACCACCGCGCGATGTGACTGCCAGACAGATCCGCCTTACTTCGGTCTCCCATTCTAACCGTGTCGAACTTCGTTCATCTACAACTGGCCTATACGACCGGTCCTTCTACAGTGCGTCGAGATTGAGAATCAATCTACGAGGATGATTCTTCCAGTTATACCAAGCTTAGGCAACTCAAAACACATTAGCAAAGTTTCTTTAAGCTCCTCATAACAACAGTGGTGCTCTGGAATTTGGGCTTCTGCCTGAGCGGCTGCTTCATTGTAAACATAAACCTATTTCGTATGGCATTCATGACTAACCGCACAAAAACCTATACCATCGCAATGCAGTTTCTAAGTACTATAAATAGTAAGTAGCTGTGACCCTTTGATATTTTCATCCATTTTACACACGAATCTTTCATTTTATAGTAAGAAATTAAATATTTCCCCCTGATCTTAAGTGTTTATTGTTGCATGATCTATACACTCTGTGAGGATTTATAAGTCTTATGGCCATGCTTCTGTTAATAAATCTGTGCTTACATCCATCCAGAGCGGTCAGAACTTGCGTCCAATCTATTAAGAATCGTTTCAAATAAGAACCGACCAAAGTACTTTCAACCTCAATAATCATTTCTTAGTTCTCATATTTCATCAAGGTAAAAGAAGCCCGACCTACCACCATTGTCTCCACATTCTGCCGCTGAGGATCATTTAAAGAGTTATAGCCCATTAGGTGTATCCGAGGCAGTAGTAATATTTCACGCCCCAGCGACATAGGAATTGCCCTTTGCCAGTAAAGCATGTCTAAAGTCGTAATTCATAAGATTTATTCATAAATATTGTGATACCGTGCGGCATGACTGTGCCTCATGAAATACCTCCAACACTCAGGGATAAGCGGGATTTATGCCTGGTGATACACAATGTGTCCAAAATAATATACAACACCTGGATAATATTGGGCAGAGATTTCTTCTAGTTGCATGAGGTTTATTCTCCTTACAGCTGCCGCTCAGCTATGCAGCTACAGGTGCATTAGACGTGCCAGCTAGTTCCATGCGGCTTGGCACTTTTTAGGAAATATGGTGATTGTGCTGAATCTGTTTACTTTTCGTCTCTGTCTGTAAGCATGACAAAGTTATTTCGTGCTTTTTAACAATCATCAGTACGGTATAGGTCTAGCCATGTGAAGATGAGTTGTAATAAATTTGTTCTCCTGTGTTTTTACTCATACTAAATTCATTTATGCTTAGCTTTATTCTTTTCAATCCTTGTTAACGGGTACGGCAAGGCAGTTGCGGTTATTCTTCTGGTTACCGCAGCATTTACGGGACCTTCATTACTTGCAATAGCAATGTTCATACAGTGTGTTCGTACCCTACTAAAGAACAAACGGAAAGCAAACAAGCTGGTTCACTGGTTCACTGAGCACGTTGTCCCTTATGCATTTCCCGCGTTAGATCGAAGAAGTATCAAGCTTTGGCGAACTATGTTATGTATAGGTCGCAGCTTTTCGTGTTGTTACGTACAAAATACTGAGTGTTTGAGAAGTCCATACCCGCTTGCTTGCGTTCTATTTATCTGTCTCCACACGACAATACCTATAGCGTACTGATAATTGCTAAAAAGCACGAAACAACGTTGTATGCTGTTGGACACTCTTACAGAGTATGGGCAGAATCAACTATCGCTTCCAATCATATGACGAAACGTTATTGCATAACACCCTTTTTTATGGTACTCGAAAATCTTAGCCTTATAATTGTTTTTATAAATTGAAGTGTTTGGGGTAACAAGGGACATAAGCCACATTCGAATACAAATTTATATTTACATTCAAACACATCAGCACTGAAGTTATCTATGTCCCTAAGTGATTTGTTTGAAATTTCGGTGATACATGTCACTATAATTCCTAGAGGGCGCTAGTGATAGATCCATATCTTCTACACATTTTTACACTGAAAAGGACGTAAGCCACATAGATTTCAAGATGGACGCCAAACGAAAATTGTTCACTGGTGAAAACAATAGACGTTTAGGTGATTCAGAGAGCGAAAATGGTTCTGGATTTACTTCAGATGATGATGTGACGGACAGAGACTATCGAAGTAGCAGTTGTAATCGTGAATCTGAACGAAAAACTCGGGTGAATGAATAAGTTTGTGGCTTATGACCTTATTGTCGTTACAGATGTGGCTTATATTTTTTTCACGTACGTATATTAGTTTCACGATGCCTTTTGATAATGATTTTACACTAAGTCATTAACAGAATATATCGTAATCCTAATTTATGAATGATAACGTAGGCCGCGAGCAACTTCAATACGTGCTAAAAATATGTAAATATTGTATGAGTGGCTAATGTCCGTCTTCACCAAATAAAATGGCATGTAGGCTTGTGACATTTTTCAGTATTCCAAAACAGCGATAACTTTTTGAAATATGATTGCGAAATACTGCTACTGAAAGTTAGTTATTGTTGAACAGTTACCTACAATATAAATAAATTTCACTAAGTTCTTATGTTCAACTGAAAGAAGCATTAGTCATTAGTCAAACGATGTTTCATTCTAAGGGTCTACAACGGGAGGCTAAAGTATTAGGTCCACCATGCCAGTGCAAAAAGTATTGCAGACAACTGCATCTACTATATTTAATTCATTTTTGAACTTGGACTCGTATGATAGACGGAATATCTATTCATTTTCTATTATGAAGGTTATACAAAAGAAAAGAAGCTACAAAAAGAAAACTAAAAGCTCGGAATCGGCTCGACGGGTAACAAACCAATATTTCGTCAAGCTAAATGGAGTTGATGTTCACATATGCAAAACTGAATTTCCATGGACTTCAAACGTATCGCTCAGCAAATTTTTGGAGGTAGAACAACTCCAAAGCGGGACGGTACAGACAAACACATTCCCAACAAAACTTTTGCGGAAAGAGTTCAGTCTGCTTACGACCACATTCAAGCCATTCCAAAGTATGTGAATCACTATAGTCGGCACGTCAATCCAAATAGAGTTTTCCTAAACCACGACCTCAACATATCTACCAGCTACAAGGATTGCTATATTGAGTGATGCAAAGAACATGGAATAACACCAGTAATCTTTTTTGGTAGCAATGCACTAAGCCACATAATTTTCAAAAATAAATTTGCTTTACCGGAATGTGTCACATTTTTTCTGCGCAGTCGTCACCGAATCACAGTTTCCCCAGTTGTGAGTGTATTGTTTTGGTTCTAGTGAAATAAAGCAAAAAACGTGATTTCAAGACCTGCATACAACTTACAATGTCAAATTTCTCGAAATAAAGTCAATGTGGCTTAGCCACCTTATTGCCCTAAGGCCTTCAGTTGCAGCAATGTCCAAAGGGGTATTTACAGAGGTTATATTATCATCGAACAAAAACGTGAAAAGTATTAGTGACCCGTTCCTCCACCAATGTGGCATTATCGTAAAATGTTACGGTGAAAACTGAATCTTTCTACTTTGATCATTCTCTGTCAGTAATATAAATTTTTATTTCATCACTTTGAAAATCTCAAAAATCCTCGAAATAATCGGCTGAGCAAATATGTACAGAGAAAATGTACGCACTATTCCTTTTACAACGAGCGAGCTCAAAATTCATTGAAGAAAATGAGAACTTTTCATAATCTTAGTCTGGGACACACTGTATACTTCCAACCTGACATTATACTCAAGTTCCATTCCTTATATAAAATACGCCTAGCCGCGGGACCGTCGCCGTATTTTTTGAGTGACTATAAATTTTGTAGGTGCAGGAAATGTACTCCAGTTAAGTGACCATTTTTCAATGTAACAAATGTGATTGAATCATCTCATGGCTTCCTGCACAGTTGAATACAGGTATTATGAACCGTTGTTTACCACGTATCTTAGCAAAATACAGAATATTCAAGTCTGAAATTGCGATTTTGGATGGGTGAATTTGATACGATGTTTAACAGAATGAGACGTGAATTCTGAACTTCAGAACAAAACTCAACAACTTAACTTCCAAGAACTGTGATTTCAGGACGTACAAGTGTCACGCAGCACAGGGACTTCTGAAAGATGATTTACTTTTATAAACCCAGAGAAATGCACGGATTAATCTAAACTAAAGACAAAGACTTCTATCTTACACCACATTAATTGTTTATGTCATCACCAAAAATTATCTTGGTATTTGGGATGTGTTTCATCCCTTTCACTGTACCGTCGATCATTTCCTTGATGTCACGCTGAATCACATCATTTTATTAATCGAGCTCCATGGAGGATGGCGCTACTGCTGTTGCTAGTTATGTTCTATAACTGGATGTCATTCTTCAACTTTGTTCCAACAAAGCATTGTAGAGTAACAGCTTGTTGCACAATGGCAGTTTAGATCTCCTGGCAGTAACCCAGTACACCTTTCCGAGATTGAGTCCCATTTAGACAAAAATCCAAATGGGTTCCGAGATACTTTGTAACTTATTGATAATCGCTGGTGAAAGAAGTTTGGCACAGAGACGTATACTCCAAATTAAAGTCATTTCCTCCTCATCTGCACTACTTGCTTCTGAAATAAATAATAATAGTAATGATAATAATATTTATTGGAGTATTAGTACATAATAGAATCAAAATACGAGTAAATAATATATATACATATATATATATATATAGGTATATATATATATATATATATATATATATAGTGTGTCGTCTTTTTTCCTCTCTATCTTCGTGTCCTCAGGTTACACTCGTATCCGAATGTATGAGCATGTGTATCTACTTTTATAGTTGTATATGTGCACTCATTTCGGGCCTGATGATGGCAACCAGCAGAAATACGTATCGATCGATTACATTGGGTAAAATCACCTTCATTTTTTATTACGGCTGAAATTCTTTGCGGCATAGTGTCAACCAATTTTTTGCAAAAATTTGGTGTAAAACAATCCCATATTTCTTGAAACTTTTGTCTCAGTTCGGTGATTGTACGAGCAGGATGTTGTCGTAGAACCTTTTTCATCTCGTGCCACAAAGTTTCAGTAGGTGACAGATCTGGACTGCTAGAAACCCATTTCAAAAGTGGCACATTATTTTCTTCCATCCATTTTATAGCATTTTTTGAGGTATGGCACGCTGCACCATCTTGCCGAAACACAAAATCTTGGCCGGATGTCAAACATTCTTCCATCACTGGTAAAAGCGATTCTTCTAAAATTGCCAAATATTTGTTTGTATCCACATTTCCATCAATAAAATGAAGTTTTCCTACTCCTTTTGATGACATACTACATACATACTTTTCTCTTCAGACAGTCAACATGGAATGCTTCATTTTTTTGCGAATAACTACTGCAACTGTCACCAACACAAACCTCGAATCGGGTCTCATCACTCCATTGTATTGCACACCATTGTTGAGGTGTCCATTGTTTATGTTCTTTAGCCCATCTAAGCCAATTTTTCTTTTGCAGTGGAGTTAATAGTGGTTTTTCTTTGGCCTATAAATAAGTTGTCCAACTTTAGGGTTTTTACTTCACTCCTTTTTATACGAAAACTTACCGTGCAAGTGCTAAATCCCAGTTTGTGGGCCTCTCTATGACTTGTGGACCTCGAAATTTTCCTACCAACAGCGTCACTGCACAGATCAGTTAATTGTAAATAATTGGCACGCCTGTTTTTCACGATTATTCTTCTTAATGCACCTGTGCGTTATAGACTTATTTTGCATTGAAATGAGAATAGGTTGATATGCTGTAATTGCAACATGTGTTATTTTTATGCTGCAAATTTGATTAGGGAATGATAAAGTTAGTGTTTTCTACTATACATTATCAAAATATTCATTGTTAATATTTTAAACCTATAACACCCTGCTACATTTTTATTATTTGTGTTTGATAATAAAAAAACTAAGATTTCAATAGTTGGGCCAACTGAAGTGCGAAGGGGTTCGTACTTGCTCTAAGGTGGCCTTGACATCAGTCTACATTCAGGCGTCGTTCGGTACGCACTAAGCATGTGTACACGTCGAAAAATTCTGGCCTGCTTCGAAGTGTTCTAAAATAGACGAAACTATCTTAATTTGAATTGTGCAAAATGGAATCACTTTCTGACGGTATGCGGAATATACAGGGTGTCCGCAAAGTTGGGTTTTTCCTTTACACGACGTGTAGATCTTGAAAACATAAGCAATTTTTCTTAGTACCATATACACCAATGTCTTAAGGGAACCGAGATAAAGGGCTGTGCAACATCAAAAATATCTGAATACCGTCCTGTAGCCGCGACCCGCGATATCACCGACTGGTACAAGTGGGTCGGGGTCAGTGTGTCAGGTCAGTATGCAACCTTCAACCGACGGTTACAGTCACGCGTGTAGAGGCAAACGAACCCGTATAATCGATTGCGTTTCAAAAAAGAACAAGCACTAGAGACGTGGCTAGAGAAGTGCAAGTATCCAAAACTAAACTGTGGAAAACGCTGGGTGAAGAGGGGCTGTATCCGTTTCACGTCCAACGTGTACAAGCCCTTCAACCTGACGATTTTCCAGCAAGAGTGCGGTTTTGTGAGTGGTTGTTGCATCAACATGACAATAATCCGGACCTTTTGAAGTGCATATTGATGACAGACGAATCTACGTTCACGCGTAATGGGGTGAATAACTTTCGCAACACTCATGTGTGGTCAGTACAAAATCCGCACGCTGTCCGTCGGGCACATTTTCAACAAACATTTTCGGTGAATGTTTGGGCTGGCATGGTGGACGGTATGCACATTGGACCATTTATTCTCCCAAATTTGTCATATTTGTTACCTCTGTTCGTGGTCTGCACCACCGCCGGCGTCTGCGCGGTAGTGCATCAGCTGATTTCATTTTCTGCTGGAGCGGTATTATTTCGGGCAGAGACGTACTTAGCCCTTCTCGTCAACTAGAGAGTGAGTACTTTTTCCTTTATTTTTTTTTACTTGGTCGCCCTCGTTTCACTACACATTACCTTTGTTATTTCAAGGATAGTTGTTTCTGAAATAGACACCCTGTATAGTTATGCACAGTTGTTGCGCTTATTTTATGTTTGAAATATTGAAATTTTACAACAAATAAACATAAACAATTGTACAGTTTTTTCCTAAAATCGACCTTCTAAAGTAATTTTAAAAATGTCTTCGCGTGTCTTGTTTCGACAAGGAAGTGATAGTGTGTAGTATGAAACATAATATAGTAAAAACCTCGCTGCTCAGGAGTATTCAACGCATAGTTAGACTAATTTTTATTGAGAAATACGTGGCGAGGCATTAATGGCCGTGTGACTGTAATGCATTGATTATTACCGATCGGAGAACTTCCTGAAGAGGCCCAAGAGTCACGCAATAGGGACATCAAGAAGTACAGATTAAATAATGCAAGAAAATGCTCTAGAGAATCGAATTTGTTAGATATCTTCAATAGGCGCTTAGTAACAACAGATTCATTTCTGTCGAGCATCAGGAAATTGCCCCAGAGACCGGCGAAATTGTTAACACAACCTTAAGTCACCAGACAAGAGACAAGGAACGATACCGATTTAGATACAAGTGGGTCAACATCAGAATCCGAATCGAATGATTCGAACATTGAAGATGTCGTGCAAGATGTTTGTTACTAGAAGTAAATAACAGATATTCATTTTGTTGAAAATTTTTCATAAAAGAAATTTTTGATAAATAAAAAACATTGGTCGGAGAATTTTTTACTCATTAAAACCTAAAAATATTATAAAATATTTTCTATTTAAAAATATTAAAAAATTAAATTTTTTTGCGGAATCCTCCATATATCGTGTCTGCTATTTTAAAAATTAGCATTTTGATAACCAATTCGTGATCAGCGATTCCAAAAACCATAAACAAATATAATTGGGTATTTTTACTGGCTTATTTGACTCATTGGTTAAATTGTGTCCGCCATTTTGGGTCCGCCATTTTGGAAATCGTAATTCTGATAACAGATTCATATTCAGCGACCCCAAAAACCTACGAGAAAAAATTTGAGATCATTTACGACATTTTCTGAATTTTGGCCAGCTTTTTAGGATTCTGCCCCACTGTGCGATGGGACCAAGCGCCCCGGAAATATTCTTCACTAAATGTCAGTCAATATTCAAGATACCTGCCAACTTGCTTTGTCCTGCTGGACCAACATTTCTTGAAGGCTGAGATGTCAAATTTTCGCAGTTACAAAGCTGCACATCACAATCACGTAACGGTCGTCAGTGACAGTAAGCTATTACCTGCAACAAATCATCGGACCTTTCCTTTCTGAAGACGCATACCGCGTAAAGCTATGATAGCCTCTACATTAAATGTTCTAAAGTTATAGCGTAATACATCATGGTGGAATATCCCGACGAAAATTTCTAAAAGGATCGGTAACCCTTCCAGTTGTGATGCCATTGTTGTAATTCATCAGCAGATAAGAGCGACAGTTATCCTACTGCCTCTATTATTGAAATTCAGAACTAATTATGATGGATGTTGCTGTTCCGACACACTCGGTCCATCGTGACGGGCTTACGGTTTGCTAACGGATATACTCTCCAGAGATCCTAGATAATTCATCAGCGGAATGGTTATTTAGTAGATGGATAACTGGTAGGTGGAGGGAAGACCGTAAGGAGGCACTTTCACTTGATTTTGATTCATTGTGCTGAGATCCGGGATACTACGGAAGTAATGGCTTGTATTTTCCGAGATGTCAATGTCCCGATAGGCGCCGCTGGAAATAGATTAATTTAAAGCATCAGCCAGAATCTAGTTTGTATTCCAGCCCATTGGTTGAGAACGCTTAGTAACATGCTATACGAGCCTCTTCCCACTTCAGTTGGCCCATCTATTGAAATCTTAGTTTTTTTTTCTTATCAAACACAAATAATAAAAATATAGCAGGGTGTTATAGGTTTAAAATATTAACAATGAATATTTTGATAACACATAGTAGAAAACACCAACTTTATCACTCCCTAATCAACTTTGCAGCATAAAAATAACACATGTTGCAATTACAGCATATCTATGACGCCCCGTAAGAAGGATTTTGACAACATTGTCACATTTGCGAGTTATAAGTTTTCTGAGATTTGTTGGCGAGAAAAAGTTGTTAAGAGATGAAAGTTGACCCAGGAGGATCAACAGACGACGCAGTTCCACATACTATGAGGAAAGAGCTGAGCGGTGGCGGAAACCAAGCAGAAGCAGAAAACACGAGCTCACTGACGCAGATGTCATCGGAGCAGAAAACGATCGAAAAACTGATGCTGATTATAGACGACCAGGCGAGGCAGATTCGAGACCTAATGGAGATCATCAAGGACCAGACAGCCAAAATTGACAGCCTTACCGCCCAGGTAACCATATTACTAAATTCAAAAGAATCCCATAAAGAACGGACAAAGACCCTAAAAAGACCACTGAGAAACGTTACTGATGATCATCTCACATCCACAGATGAAGATGTACAGACCGAAGGATTTGTAAAAGCAAAATCAAGAAGGAGGAAAGGCAACAAGGCTGATCGATCAACCCAAGACTTCACTCCTCTTCCGAATACACGATGAATTCCATTTCACACCTCCCCCAATTCATCAAATCGAAACACTATTATTGCTTCTACTACCAAGCCAGGGACCACGTTATCTACCTGTCAGGTGACTCCGTCAGCCGATGTTACTTCTCCTCCGTCATCTCGTCCAACCGTCGTGGCATCAACACAACCCTCACGACAAGGGCGCATAACCCCGATCGTCTTACGCGATGGGACGAGATGGCGTACTTTAAATTTCAAGTATATTTCCCTAGGTATTAAAATAGATCGCGCGGTTGCTGTCGATACGGGAATAAGGATTATTCCTAAATCCGAGGACGACTACCGTAAGATCGTTCGCCTATTCCGAGAGGAAGAAGTGCCCCATCACACTTTTCCTCTCCCTTCGGAACGGAACATCCATGCGGTGGTTCGAGGAGTTCCCTTCAACTTTTCGGATACTGAGATTAAGGGAGAACTGGAGCAGAGGGGATATAGCCCTCTTCACATCATTCGATTGAAGCGCAGCGGCGGCGCGCCCATGCGTTTGGTGGTCGTGATACTGCCCAAGACTGAACATTCTCAGCAAGTGTTCAACGAACACGAACTGCTGGGACTGGCCATTCGAGTTGAGGTTCAGAAGAACTCCATACTCATTGGGCAGTGTCACCGCTGCCAAAAGTACGGGCATGCGCAGTCATAATATGATATATTATTGCACTGCACCGCCCAAATGCTTAAAATGTGCAAATGACCACATGACGCATTTGTGCCCCCTCACAGAAGAGGAAGAACGCAAGTGCGCGAACTGTGGAGAGGGACATCCCGCAAATAGCCGGACTTGCAAGTTCACTTCAAGGAGGAACTTGCAAGTTATAGCGCAAAGGCGCAATATATCATACGCGGACGCAGCTCGGGAGGCAACCTTGCCTGCCCCCTCTGCCCAACCTCCCTTGAGCATGCAAAATGTGGACCTGGCAACCGCGCTATGGTCCTTACAACAAATAATAAGCCCACTGATTAGCGCTACCCAAGCGTTGCAGGCGATATTTCCTGTAAATGTCTAGGTACAATAGTAGACAGCCTGCATTCATCAAAATTCTTTTTTGGAATTGTTTGGGCATGAGGGATATTCCCAAAAAAAAACGGGAATTTCATTAAGCTCTTTTGGATGAAGGTATAGATGTGGCCTTGCTGCAGGAAAGAGAGATCGTTTAGGTCTTCCAAATTATGATGTTATCCGAGGCGGCGGTTTAGCAGTGTTGATTAAGCGCGGTATAGACTATTATAGAGCACTAATGCGGAGATGCATAGCATCGAAGCAGCTTCTGTGGTAGTCAATATGGCGGGAGGTGTTTTGTTGAAGATCACATCGGTGTATGTCAGGTGTGGTGCCAGGCTACAAGAGGCGGATCTGGAGGTCCTTTTGGACTACTCGTGTCCGCTTATTGTGGCAGGGGACTTCAACTGCAAACATCGAGCATGGAATTCTAGGTTGAATTCCACTAGTGGGGTTCGATTGTACAACCATGTGATGCGAAATGGGTACCTTATACATAGCACTGAAGAGCCGACACATCATCTATTCAACCATCTTCAGGCCCCAGATGTCATCGATTTCGCGATATCTAAAAACTGTAGATACAGCATCTCTTCTCGAATCTTGTATGATATCTCTAGTGACCATCTACCTATTGTCTTGGATGTGGGCAATGAGCAAGGCAGCTCCTCCAAGGAAACGCATTGATTGGGACCTATACAAGTTGCTCCTTAGAGAGTTTCCCAATATCCCGATTATAGATGATGAGTTTGGAATAGATGCCGCTCAAGCGGAGTGGACAAAATCTCTGGCAAAAGAAGCGCTATTAAGCAGGCAAAAAGGTATTGTCATCCTGATGACATTCGTAGGGCTACAAATCTTGTCCATGAAGTGAGAAACGCACTGCACGAACTCCGCAACGAGCAATGGAGCGACTTTCTGGTGGGAATGCTTGATTCAAGTATTCCTCTCTGGAAGGTCGCAAAGTCACTCAGAAACGGAAAGCGAGAGCAACTCCCACACATCCACGGTCCTTAAGGTATAGTCTTCAGAACGGAGGATAAGGTCGAGGTTTTCGCTGATGCCATGGAAAAACAGTTCTCTCGCAACTATGATCTCGATAATGACCTCGACGGGGAACAGCACATCGTACGATCCGTCTCCGTCAGGAGATATTTTAGGGCCAACGGCGTTAGCGGAGGCACTGAATCCTCTTCAGATGACTCTTCTTCAGGAGATTCGTCTGAGGCTCTACATAGCACATTAGCGGAACCCCCCGAGTTTCCACATTGCACACCAGCGGAGCTTCTAAGTCATATTAAAGACCTCAAGGTGCATAAAGCACCTGGGTAGGATCAAATCACCAACACGGCGTTGCAGCTGCTCTCGCCGAAAGCCCTGTGACATACTTGGTGACAATAATCTATGCGACACTCAAAATCTAGAACTTCCCTGCTGGGTGGAAGACTGCTGAGGTCATCATGATTCCAAAGAAGGTGGGTTCGATATTTCTTCAGGATTACCGTCCCATAAGTCTGCTGTCAGCTCCTTCTAAGCCCGCCGAAGAGGTGATTTATCGTCACCTTGAGAATTTTTCGTCAAATCACCATGTGATTCCTGACGTCCAATTCGGTTTTCGGTCCGAGCATAGCACCGAGCTACAGGCAGTCAGGCTGGTGGAGCATGTAACCAGAGGGTTCACCCTTAGCATGAGTACTGCTTTTGGATGTCTCAAAAGCCTTTGACAAGGTGTGGCACGCGGGCCTCCTCTATAAACTAATCCAAAAGGGTTTTGCTTTTTGGCTTCTAAAATTACCGAAATCCTTTCTTGAAGGAAGGAAGTTTCGGATCAAAATTAACAATGTTTTATCAACAACACGGCCAGTACGGGCCGGTGTTCCTCAAGGTTCGGTCCTAGGACCAATTCTTTATACGTTTTTCATCCATGATGTCCCTTTCCCCAGCAACTGTGAAGTCTACCTCTATGCTGACGACACTGCACTTGTCGCGCAGTCGTGTACTGGTGATCTGGTTCACGATGGGTTGCAGAATGCGGTGGACGAAGTTCTAGTGGGCGGAACGGTGGCTGATAAAAATTAATCATTCGGAAACGCAGGCTATTTATTGTACCAAAAAACGTCGCGGCCCCAAAGCAGAGGTTTCTGTAGACGGAAATCGTGTACCATGGACAAATTCTCCGAAGTATCTCGGTGTCACCCTTGATAAAGGCATGACCTGGTAGAAACATACAGCATCCATAAAAACAAAATTCCAAATTGCGTTTCGGCAACTATATCCTTTGTTATGTAGATCCTCCAAATTGAGTTTGATAAACAAAGTTCTACTATATAAAATGATTATTAGACCAGCCATTACTTATGACTCACATTCAAAGTCTTCAAGTACTGCAACGTGTGTCTCAAATGAGACCCTACACAGAGACCTTGACATTCCTTACTTAAGGGATTATGTCAAGCTTCAGGCGCAGCGACGTTATAGTCAAGCGGAATCGCACAGCAACCCACTGCTGCGACACACAGTGGAGCAAGTTCGTAAAAATTCAAGGCCACGGCACGCACTGTAATCAAAAGTTATCGTGAATCTTTAGTAAACTCAAAATCACACTCTAACAAAACCGAATCACAAAATTTGTTTAGTTCGCCGCAAAAGTAATCCGTGTACCAAGTCAAAAAGCCTAGGGGTTTCCTCTTAAACTAAGCATATCTGTTTTTCTTTGCTCTTCTCCTTTTTTCTTCCCTTTCCCTTTCTCTTTTTCCTTGACTTTGTCTGGTTTCTGGGCAACCAGGACTGACAGATTCGACTAACATACATCAGACAGTGACTAATGGGTAAAGGTTCTACGGACCTCCCAGACAAACAAATGACGAATAGTTAACATATCAACCTATTTTCATTTCAACGCAAAATAAGTCTATAACGCATAGGTGGCTGTGAGAAATAAAAGCCATGACAATTGTTTGTATTAATCACAGCTGCCAGAATACGTTTAAAATAGTTTTGAGTAGCTAAGGTTTTCAAAATGGGTAGAGGAAAGGTTATTAGTGAGAAAATTCGGCTACTGATAATTAAATTTTTTATTTCTGGGAAATCAAACTCAGAAATTGCAACTTTGTTAGACTTATCGCGGTACAGGGTGAGAAATATTGTTAGAAGATATAACGTAACTGGTTCAGTTAATATTAAGCCACGATATGTGAAAAAAAGTAATATCACAAATGCCGACCGAAGAGCATTAAGAAGAATAATCGTTAAAAAGAGGCGTGCCAATTATTTACAATTAAGTGCTCTGTGGAGTGACGCTGTTGGAAGGAGAATTTCGAGGTCCACAACTGATAGAGAGGCCCACAAACTGGGATTTAGCTCTTGCAAGGTAAGTTTTCTTATTAAAAAAGGTGAAGTAAAAACCCCAACTTATTTATAGGCCAAAGAAAAGCCTCTATTAACTCCACTGCAAAATAAAAATCGGCTTAGATGGGCTAAAGAACATAGACAATGGACACCTCAACAATGGTGTGCAATTCAATGGAGTGATGAGGCCCGATTCGAAGTTTGTGTTGGTGACAGTCGCAGTAGAGTTATTCGAAAAAAAAATGAAGCATTCCATGTTGACCGTCTGAAGAGAAAAGTGAAATTTCCAGCATCCATTATGGCCTGGGGCAGTCTGTCATCAAAAGGAGTAGGAAAACTTCATTTTATGGATGGAAATGTGGATACAAACAAATATTTGGCAATTTTAGAAGAATCGCCTTTACCAGTGATGGAGGAATGTTTGACATCCGGCCAAGATTTTGTGTTTCAGCAAGATGGTGCAGCGTGCCTTATCTCAAGAAAGGATATAAAATGGATGGAAGAAAATAATGTATCACTTTTGAAATGGGTTTCTAGCAGTCCAGATCTGTCACCTATTGAAACTTTGTGGCACGAGATGAAAAAGGTTCTACGACAACATCCTGCTCGTACAATCACCGAGCTGAGACAAAAGCTTCAAGAAATATGGGATTGTTTTGCACTAAGTTTTTGCCAAAACTTGGTTAACACTATGCCCCAAAGAATTTCAGCCGTAATAAAAAGTAAAGGTGATGTTACCCAATGGTAATCTTTCAATTGTTGCTTTGTTCAGATGTTCTATTAGTTATAGGTCTAAGTGATTTCAAATATGTATTTTTTACGACTAGATTGTATCTAAAATGTTTTTGAGAAAATAAATTGTTTTAGAAGTAAATAGTTTCGTCTTGTTTAGTTTATAAATGTATATTTTGATACAAATCTTGAAGTGAGCCAACTGAAGTGGGAAGGGGCTCGTAGATATACAAAGATCATAGCAAAACCAGCGTAGAGTCAACGTTGGCCTCTCATATAAATGCCTTTCCTGTACATCGGGTGGCTAATAAATAACGAGTGATAGACATTCATTTATTAGGGAGAAATAAATAAATAGCGTTTATTGCCCAACTGTTAAGGAAACCATTTAAAGGGCAATCCTAATAATAGATAAATCAAACTAACAAAAATAGAAAACTTACTAAAACCAGGTGATGCTATTTAAAGAAAAATAAGCAAAAAACATATTTCACTCAAAAGAGCAACGTATCATCAATTGCTCAAGTAATTCCTAGCTACTCTTAGAATGCTATTCAAACTGTCAGCATGTATATCACAATAATTAGATATGACATTCTAAGTTTACGAGGGATGTCTTTTAAGTTTTACATATGGAAATAAAACAACACAGTAGGTAGTTTTAAATGACTTTATTGTTTTTCGAAGTATTCTCCACGAAGATTAATGCATGCGCTCGAACCAATTTTCGAAGCACTTATTCCACTCGTTTGCTGGCAGATCCAAAACGGCATTTTTGAATGCGTCAACTGCTTCTTCTGGTGACTGGAACCTTTGACCCCGAAGTCTGTTTTTTATTTTCGGGAAAGTAAGGAAGTCGTTAAGACTATATGGAGGATGGTCCAATAATTCCACTTTTTCTTCCGTTAAATACTGCCTTGTTTTTTGGGCTGTGTGCGAGCTTGCATTGTCTTGGTGGAGGATTATTCTTCTTTCGGGGCTGATTTTTCGAAGCTCGGTGATGACTTTTGGCAAACAAATGGTGCTATACCAATCCGCAGTAACAGTTCTTTGGTCATTAAGAGGAATTGTTGCAATATGACCCGCTTTTGACACAAATGTCGGGATCATCTTTTTCGAAACACTTCGAGAACGGATGGCTTTTGTTGGCTTTTCTTCACCGTGGAACACCCAAACAGCCGACTGTCGTTTATTTTCTGGTTCATAACAGTAAATCCACGATTCATCACCACTAACAATGCTGTACACATTTTTTGAGTTTCCGGAATTGAAACGGTCAAGCGTTTTTTGACAATAATTAACCCTGGCTGCTTTCTGCTCTTGAGTCAACAGGTGGGGTATCCAACGAGAAACTAATTTTCTTACTCCTAATTCTTCATGTAAAATTTTGTGAATTGACGCCTTTGAGATCTTCGGGGATGCCTCAATCATGCGATATGTCACATGTCTATTTTCAATGGTGAGTTTGCGCACAGCATCCACGTTTTCCTGGGTGCACCCACCCTGGGATCGTCGCTAAGACTCACCCGTCCACGTTTGAATTCTCCATACCAAGGGGAAATTGTCGACTGATGTGGCGCTTCGTTGCCGAAAACAGACAGTAACTCAGCAAGGCATTCTTGTTGCGATAATTGTCTCTGAAAGTTGTAATAAATTATGACGCGAAAATGTTCTCGATTGAGTTCCATTTTTCTAATGACTTGGTGACACTTAAAATTCACTGTAGTGAGAACACTGCACGTATTATTGGGCTGTGAAAAACCTTCACGAAATGGCAGAGAGACATCTACAGACCAGATTTGGAACTTACGGTTGGTATGGGGTTATTGGTAATTCAATCTAACTTAACTTTTTTGATTGGGTACCTAATCGAAATTAGGAATTAATTATTTCAGGAAAAAATCGACTTATAGGACCTTTTTTATTTGGCTACAATCTAAACGGGCAGAGGTACCTAGAGCTTTTGCCAAACCAGGTTGTGCCGGCTTTACGAGCTAGTCTAACCGAAGATGGGGTTAGAAGAACCTCGTTTCAACAGGATGGACGTCCGGCTCACAACACCATTCAATTAAGGAACTTCTTCAAAGAACAGTTTATTGAAAGGGTAATTTCATTAAATGGTTCGAAATTTTGGCCTCCTACATCATCTGTCCTTTTATACAAAGAATTTTGAGCACAGTTAGAAGCATTAACAGAAATACACTAGCTAAGGTTGTACAAAAAATTGTCACCAATTGTCAAACATGACTGGATGCAATTGGACGTTATTTTGCAAATATGTAAATTAATACCCACTTACATAATTAGATTTTACATCAGACTACAATTTCGTGAAATGTTTGTTTGTTCAAGTGTAAAATAATTTTTTCAGTTGTTTTTTAACACACTCTAGTTGGGAATTTGTCCCAAAACATTTGACTTGGTGAGAAGTCGATATTGACGTTAATATTCTATTGAAAATTCAAGGCGCGTATGTGTTTTTATGCCTTACTCATTAATGTTATTTTCTGACAAATAAATCATGACCTAGTAATAAATAATACATAACATTACGTATGATGATATTTCGGTGATACTCCAGTCTCTTAAGCAGCGTTCTCACGAGTCGATTTTAGTTGGTCAGCGTAAGTTGATCAACTTAAATCGAAACGAATATTTGTTCACACACATAATAAAAATTGATGCGCTAGTTGTTTCTAAAATGGCTGCCAACAAAGTTGTCCAAGCAGGCTTAGCAGCTATTTACGAATTATTAAATGAATAAATCAGAGACGTGTTGTCACAATTTGACAGAAAATCTAGAATACGTCGGTTTTGGGTCAGGACTTGGATATTGCGAAGAAATAAATTGGGCGTTTCAGGAACCCTGCTCAAGGAGCTAGCTTTAGAGGACAAGGATGCCTAGAAAAATCATTAGAATGTCCGAAGAAAAATTTCAATTTCGATAACTCTGGAGTTGGGTATTCCATAAACCGTCATGCTGTTGATATGAATCCAAAAAATGTAGCACGATACTGTCAGACCACTTCATGCTCATTTTTAGTCTTTTTTTCGCACACAACAAGCACACGAGCCACAAAATTAACTTTATTCAATGCGAAACTCGACTGACACTCGCTTCAAATCTGTTTCAACTTTTCTGAAAGTCGCCTATGACGCATTAAATTGATCGATAAGTTTTGAATGGATCAAACTTTTTCGGTTCAACTAAAATTGATCGACTAAAATCGATAACACGGTTCACAAGTATATTTTTATTCGATTTTTGTTGATCAATATAAATCGTTCTACTAAAATCGACTCGTGAGAACACTGCTTTATACACTTGTGGGACATCACTAGACTGGAAATTTTACACTCTTTCCAAAAATCAAAAAATCCAATATGGTTGCCATAAGAAAAATGTATGTTGAAGCGGATTACTGGAAAACAAAAGACGATTGAGACGTGTCATATATGCTATCTTAGTTTTCTGAAAAAATGTCCGAATAATGTCAAATTTTGACAGCTGTCAAATTAATCGTTTTGGATTTACTGGCAAAAAACAAACGCCGCCATTTTCAGTTTTTCGCTGATATTTGAAAAACTATTTGACCGATCATAAAGCTGAAGCTGGCTATCAAATCAATAAGTTTCCTTCTATAACTTTCATCATTTAACCTTTATTGAAGGTATAACAGGAGCCGAGATCCCTTTATAGTGAAGTGAATCTGGAACACATTGTATACGGGTGCCTTGAAAAATAAATTTGTGCAACTTTGTCACCATAAAAGGTTTTGACGGTACGGGTTTGAGTAGATGGCACAATAAGGTTTAGTTCAGCTACAATCTTATTAGCATCAATTTGATTGTGCAGCAGCTTATGCAAGAAAATAATTGATGCACCCTTCCTTCTCAGCTTTAAAGACTGCATTTTAAACCTAGACAATAGCAAACTTTCAGATATACCCTGCTCAGGATATGCATTGTCAACCTTGTAAGATAAAAACTGGAAAACTTTCTTTCAACATGCTCAAGAGGATCAATGAAGCAGTTATAGGGTTCGAAACTAACGATGCGTACGAGTATTGCAAATTTGATGTAATTTCAGCTACCTGGGGTCAAAGATTAAGGTGGAGATTAAGATTATGGTCAAAAACTACACCTACATTTTTAATGGGTAGGTGATATAGAAAAATTGCCGTCAAGTAGGTTGTCTCTTCCCATACAACGTGGTTATCAGTTGACAAAAAATTATTTTCAGCACAAACCAGACCCCTCAGAGATAAAAGTGAGTCAAACAGGTTCATAGTCATCGGTTGCCTGCTCTACTGGTAGTGCATCTGAAAACGTCGCTTCTCCCCGATACTTAACTCGGTCAGGGCATAGGAAACACTATGCTGTGATACGGCATAAATATGTGTAATACCATACCAGAACAACAGGTCACTTTCTAAGGCTGGTGACACGGCGCCGGGAGCGACAGCTGCGGTCGGTATGTACGCGATCCGTCTGCCGAGTATGTTTAAGTTTTAAGGTCTAATGTATAGAGAAATCTATTATGTGTGGAATATATCTAAAAGCTGCGTGAAATTACCATTTTCCACAAAGCAATTGGAGTGTTCACTTCTAGGCCTGAGCAGAAGGACCAGCTGAAAATATTTCATCAAGCGGCTGGAAATATTAACTATAACATCTATATATAAACTTCCCATTACAGATTTATCGAAAACTACTGATTAAAAGAAAAAACGCCGAGACACGTCAAAAGATTTGTCAATGATGACAACTTTTTTAACAAAAACTACTTTACCCCCTTTCACCCTCTGTCGCTCAGGGTCATCCCCTTAAAAATGTGAGAAGGCAATGGGTATCGAGCAATAGCGTGTTTAAAGGAAAATTAGAAAAATCTTTATTTATATTAATTTTTTCAGAGAGAAAACAAAAACACATGAAAATATCACTTTTTATTTCAATAAGTGTTCAAGTTGTTGCCCGTTATTGGCCAAGGAATGAAATACACGATGTTCAAATTCCTGACGGGCATTTTCAAAAACATGTGGTGGGATATCAAGGCAGCTTTCGATGGTGCGTTGACGAAGCTCATCCAAACTTTTAAGTTGGTGAGTAAACAGAATATATTTAAAATTGCCCTATAGAAAAAAGTCTAGCGGCATCAAATCAGGAGATCTAGCGGGCCGTTTTATAGGCACTCTTCGTACTATCCATTTATCTGGAAGCTCGTCGCCTAGCCATTGCCGAACCGGAAGAACATAGTCTTGCTGGAAATCTATTTCAGCCTCATCAAGTATAGGGTTTCCATCCTCTTCGATTTGGTTTTTAATGATTTCAGTGATAAGCGGATTGATGGTACTTTTCCAACATATCCAAATAAATGTCTCTATTCATATTTCTATTAATAAACGATGGCATAATCGCTTTGTTTCCTAAGCTTTTTTGGAAGTACTGGGTAGACCCTTCTGCAAAAGCATCAAGATTTTCATTGCTCCAATACCTGCAGTTATGCTTATTAACAAATCCATTTAGATAAAATGTACATGGATGGTATTTAATCGCTGCTGTCATTTGTTCACAAAACTCAACTGGCCTATCGGAATCATCTTTGCCTAACTCTTGCAATATCTTCATTTTGAATGAATAAAATTTATGGAGTTCAGTAACTGTGTGTACAGGGCCTGATAAAATACTAGTCGCTGCAACAATTTTGCGTAGTGAAGTATAAGGATTTTTCCCAAAATGATCAAAAACTTTAGCGGCTTTATAAAAAACTCTGCGATGATCACGTTTTTTATTTGAAACAGATTCAGTCTGAGTACATTTAGTA